TGTGATGTCCCCAGGGATGGGGCCTCCACCACCTCTCTGGGCAACCTATTCCAGGGATCTATCACACTCATACTGAAGAACTTTTTGTGACATCTAACCTAAATCTGCCCTTTTCTAGCCTAAATCCATTCATTCCCCCTCGTCCTGTCCCTACAGACCCTTGTGAACAGTCCCTCCCCTGCTTTCCTGTAGCCCCTCTCAGCCACTGGAAGGTCACTATAAGGTCCCCCTGGAGCCTCCAGGCTGAACAGCCCCAACTCCCTCAGCCTGTGCTCACAGCAGAGCTGCTCCAGCCCTCCCAGCATTGCTGTGGCTCTCTGCTGAACACATTCCAACAGGTCCAAACATGTTCCAACAGGTCCAAACATGTTCCAACAGGTCCAAACACATTCCAACAGGTCCAGCTCATGTCTGTAGGTCCTTACACCACCCTCATCACCACAAGCTCCAGCAGTTCCCCCGTGATACCTCCGATAACATGACTGCTTGTTTTGTTCACCTCTGCTTCCACCTTTTCTCAGAGAGAAAATCACAGAGATGGTGTTTTTATAGTGTTCCCTTTTTAAGACAGCAGTGCCAGTCCTCAGGGGCTGTCCCTGTGTACCCTGGACACGAGGAGTGACTCAGGTCACTTCTGGGTATGTTAATTGCATGCCTGCAGAGCTTGGTTTTGGGGGGTGGGAAACATTTAGTGCTTATATCCCTGCAGTAACACTGTGTTAGAGGAAATCTGTGCTAGCTGTGTGCCAGGCCTCAGGAGAGGGCTCAAAGGGCAGTGGTGTAAATACTCTTGCTCCAAATTGTTTTGCCCCCACTGCACATATATGGAGATTATGTTGGATGGTTGTTTTATGCTTCAGTTTGACACTTGGATTTTTGGGCTGCAGAACTCCAAGAATCCCATCCATCAGATGATCTATGAATACATGGACAAGAGACGAGACCACGTTTTGGTCAAAACCTACCAGGAAGCTGTTCAGCGTGTGATGGAGTCCAACTATGCCTTCATTGGAGAATCCATCTCCCAGGACCTCGCTGCTGCCAGGCACTGCAATCTCATCAGGGCCCCCGAGGTCATCGGAGCCCGAGGGTTTGGCATCGCCACTGCCCAGGGTCAGTCACTCTGCACCCCTGTCCCACTCCTCTGCTGGGCTTCCCTGGGTCTCGGGCAGCAGCCTGACAGAGCAAAGCCTCATGGAGCTGTGCTGCAGCTTCACGTGTTTTCTGCATGAACATCAGTGATCCAGCATGAACAAATTCATAACCCTGCTATGCCAGGTTTGCACTCTGTCCATGAATTACCATTGACTCTTTGAACTGTAGTGAGCAAAAAATCCCAGCTCCCAGGAGTCTCCCTGGCTCCTGTGGGTTTTGCTGGTTTTGCCTTGCTCCCAGGTAACACAGCTCCTGATGCAGTTAGCAGGGTAGACAGCTTGTTCCCTTGTGGAGCAGCACTGCTTCATTTCCCAGAGTACCTTCACTCAGTCATTATTCTGTGAGAATTACACCCCCATGGACAGGACAGGACCGGTGGTTACCTAAGAGAAGCCCTTGGCTTAGTCTGCAGAATGACCAGCTGAAAGCTGGCAGCAGCACCCAGCTTCACTTGGTAGCTAGCAGCAGATTGCTTCAGTGTTACAGTGCTCATCCCGTGCTCCTCTCTCTCTCTCTCTCTCATGCTGCCAGCGTCCCCCTGGACTAAGAAGCTTTCCATTGCTGTCCTCAAGCTGCAGGAGTCGGGCGACCTGGAGTACCTGCGTAACAAGTGGTGGGAGAGCAGCTGCCCCCCCCGGGGCAGGGAGGGCTGGAGCCCCCTGCAGCCCCAGGCCCTGGGCGGGCTCTTCCTCACGCTGGCGGTGGGCCTGGCGCTGGGGGTGATCGTGGCACTGGTGGAGCTCTCCAACAAGAGCAGGCACGCTGCTGGGCACGCCAAGGTGGGTGATGTTGTCTCCTGTCCTGCACCCCCGTGGCGAGGCCGGGCCAGGCCCCGGTGCCCCGTGGTGCTGGGTTCCCACGCTGCTCTGGCTGTCTCTGGGCAGTGGGGAGGGGAGACAGGCTGTGTGGTTCCTCCCCAGCTGCTGACCTTTCACAGCTGGGCTGTGGGACTGTTCTGTAGCTTGAACAGGGTAAAAACCATAAAATGACCCCCCAGCCCCAAAACCTGTTGGGTAGAAACATCTGCTGTGGTTCACTGGCAGCCAACCCGCGCTGCAGCCGGCCGAGCGGCCTGGAGCCAAGCCCACGGGCATGGG